ATGTGTTGTGATGAAAATGAGAGAAAGCAAATCGTATGATTTAGGAGCAGTCTGATCTGTCTGGCTTCTTTACAATGCATGCTTTAACAAATTTGTTTAAACTTGACTTTGCATTCCTTTATTTTTACATAAAAATCCAAAGTGGGTAATGGTGTCACGAATGCTGTTTAAATGAATCTGGAATCTAGAGAAAACATATGTATACAAACCTAGCAAGCTTTATGGCCTTTGGCTTTGCAAGGGTGTGACATAGAATGTACTTACTGAGTTAATTAAATGATAACATACCAAGGCAATTTATCATGGACATCAAATAAAGGCTAGTTTTTTTAAAAAAAAAAAAACATTGTATGATAAAGTTAGAAAATCTAAGACTTGCTAGAGATGAAAATTAACTGGTTTTTAAATTAACCAGCAGAGGCCTATATCTAAAATTAAACTTATATTACTTTTACCAGAGGAAATAAAATTCCATGTGAGAGCTTTTCTAAACGGACCCTTTACTTATAGGAAGTTAATATTTCATGATGCCATGAGAAATTCGGCAGTAATACATTTTCAGCAAGTAGGCGCTTTTCACCTTAAGAAAAATAAAAACAGCTTGTCAGTAATCCAATTCTAAATTCTGTGTTGTTGTGATTTTAATTATAGTAGTCCCCTATAATCCTTTGTTTTGCTTTCCTAGGATTTAGTTACCCAAAGTCAATCATGGTCTGAAAATGTTAAATGAAAATTTCCAGAAATAATTCATAAGTTTCCAACATTCAAGTCTCATGCCATCCCACCCTGTCCTGCTCAAGACAGGAATCCAGGAATCCTCCCTTTGTCCAGCACCTCCATCCTGTCTGTGCTACTGCCCATTGAGTCACTTAGCAGCTGACTCTGTGATCTCAGATCAACTGTGGCCGTATCGCCATGCTTGTGTTCAAACCACATTTCTTTTACTTAATAATGACCCCAAAGTACAAGAGTAGTGATGCTGGCATATAGCTAAAATTGTTCTTTTTTTTTTTCTTGAGACAGAGTCTTGCTTTGTTGCTCAGGCTGGAGTGCAGTGGCACAATCTCAGCTTACTGCAACCTCCGCCTCACAGGTTCAAGTGATTCTCCTGCCTCAGCCTCTCAAATAGCTGGGATTATAGGTGCCTACCATGCCAGGCTAATTTTTGTATTTTTAGTAGAGACAGGGTTTTACCATGTTGACCAGGCTGGTCTCAAACTCCTGACCTCAAGTGATCTGCCTGCCTCAGCTTCCCAAAGTGCTGGGATTACAGGCACAAGCCACTGTGCCAGGCCAATTGTTCTAGTTTTATAATGAGTTGTTAATTTCTTACTGTGTCTAATTTATAAATTAAGCTTTCTCATAGGTATGTATATATAAGAAGAGAACATAGTCTGTGTCGGGGTTGGCACTATCCACAGTTTTGGGCATCCACTGGCAGTCTTGGGACATATTCCCCTCAAATAAGGGGGGGAACTACTGTATGTTAAGGTTATACCATATTCTGAATCATAAACTATTTCACAGCATCATCTTTGAAAGGGAAGTATTATTTGGAAAGCAAAACTTCAAGGTGAAGGCTTGTGAATGGAATCTTAGTGCATATCACAGAGAATGAGAAATGGTAGTATTCTGCCTCCTTAGCTCAACCCTTACCACCTCTTAATTCTTTATGACCAGGCTCCAGGTAATTATTTCCCATCAGTTCTTGGTTTAGCACTCCTGGAAATCAAGGAATCTTTCAGACATAGACTTTTAAAACATTTTTTGAGAAAATATTTACTATCCAGAGAGTACTGATGGATAATTAAATAAGATCAACTGTCCCCTCCAGCTAGCCTTAAATCTGGGAGCAGATGGAAATCCCACAGGCCAAGTTAGTTTGGATAGTCCAGTGAAATGCATAATGAAACAGAATATCCAGATTGTTTTATCCTCCAAATTTACTTTAAATTGTATTAGGAAATAAAATGTTGCATGTCAATACACAGGTGCTTTTCTAAATCATGGTGTAGTTTTCCTCATATACATTTTATTCTTCCGGACAAAAAACAATTGCTTATAGTCCAAAATACACTTACTAGTCAAGTATATTTTTCAGCATCATAAAACTCCTAAAATAGATGCATAAGTACTATATTTTTATATTTACTAGCATTTGTTTTGCAAAGCTCTAAAATTTATAGGATATATAAGTCACTTTTTCAGTTTATATACAAGTATTTGTTTATCTGGCATATAGAATGTTTCTGTAAATATAGCTATATTTATATAAATACCCTATACATATATACCATATATGGATATCTCAACATATGGTCTATATGGAGCTTTATATCTAAAGTCAGTAAAATAAATAACGTCAACAAGCTTTTAAAGTGCAACCAATTAATAATATTAGTATATTTTTATTCAGACATATTTGAAGAACTGAGAATAATTATGTGGTATTTCCTGACTATTTACACATTATATTATGAACATATGTTTAATTTTTTAAATAAGCTTTTGGTACCCATATTTCTTTTTTTTCTTTTTTAAATATATATTTTATTGCGTTTTAGGTTTTGGGGTACATGTGAAGAACACGCAAGATTGTTGCATAGGGACATACATGGCAATGTGGTTTGCTGCCTTCCTCCCCATCACCTATATCTGGCATTTCTCCCCATGTTATCCCTCCCCCAACTCCCCACCCCCCACTGTCCCTCCCCTATTCCCCCCCCCACAGACCCTAGTGTGTGATGTTCCCCTCCCTGTGTCTATGTGCTCTCATTGTTCAACACCTGCCTATGAGTGAGAACATGTGGTGTTTGATTTTCTGTTCTTGTGGTCAATTTGCTGAGAATGATTGTTTCCAGGTTCATCCATGTCCCTACAATGGACACGAACTCATCTTTTTTTATAGCTGCATAGTATTCCATGGTGTATATGTGCCACATTTTCCCTGTCCAGTCTATCATCAATGGGCATTTGGGTTGGCTCCAGGTCTCTGCTATTGTAAACAATGCTGCAGTGAACATTCGTGTGCATGTGTCCTTATAATAGAACAATTTATAATCCTTTGGATATATACCAAGTAATGGGATTGCTGGGTCAAATGGAATTTCTATTTCTAGATCCTTAAGGAATCGCCACACTGTCTTCCACAATGGTTGAACTAGTTTACACTCCCACCAACAGTGTAAAAGTGTTCCTGTTTCTCCACATCCTCTCCAGCATCTATTGCCTCCATATTTTTTAATGATCGCTATTCTAACTGGCGTGGGATGGTAGCTCAATGTGACTTTGATTTGCATTTCTCTAATGACCAGTGATGATGAGCATTTTTTCATATGTTTGTTGGCCTCACATCTGTCTTCTTTTGTAAAGTGTCTGTTCATATCCTTTGCCCACTTTTGAATGGTCTTGTTTGTTTTTTTTTCTTGTAAACCTGTTTTAGTTCTTTGTAGAGTCTGAATGTTAGCCCTTTGTCAGATGGGTAGATTGCAAAAATTTTTTTCCATTCTGTTGGTGGCCGATTCACTCTAATTATTGTTTCTTTTGCTGTGCAGAAGCTGCGGAGTTTAATTAGGTCCCATTTGTCTATATTGGCTTTTGTTGCCAATGCTTTTGGTGTTTTGGTCATGAAGTCCTTGCCTATGCCTATGCCTTAATGGTTTTGCCTAGATTTTCTTCTAGAGTTTTTATGGTATTAGGTCTTATGTTTAAGTCTTTAATCCATCTGGAGTTAATTTTAGTGTAAGGTGTCAGGAAGGGGTCCAGTTTCTGCATTCTAGACATGGCTAGCCGATTTTCCCAACACCATTTATTAAACAGGGAATCCTTTCTCCATTGCTTGTTTTTGTGTGGTTTGTCAAAGATCAGATGGTTGTAGATGTGTGGCATTGCCACCGAGGCCTCTGTTCTGTTCCATTGGTCTATATCTCTGTTTTGGTACCAGTACCATGCTGTTTTGATTACTGTGGACTTGTAGTATAGTTTGCCTTCAGTTTGTTCTTTTTGCTTAGAATTGACTTGGCCATGCGGGCTCTCTTTTTGTTTCATATAAAGTTTAAGGTGTTTTTTTCCAGTTCTGTGAAAAGGTCATTGGTAGCTTGATGGGGACTGAAGAAGGTCATTGGTAGTATAAAATCTGTAAATTACTTTGGGCAGTATTGCCATTTTCACAATATTGATTCTTCCTAACCATGAGCATGGAATGTTTCTCCATCTGTTTGTGTCCTCTCTTATTTCGTTGAGCAGTGGTTTGTAGTTCTCCTTGAAGAGGTCCTTTACATTCTTGGTTAGTTGTATTCCTAGGTATTTTATTCTCTTTTTACAATTGTGAATGGGAATTCGTTCTTGATTTGACTCTCTTAAGTCTGTTATTGGTGTATAAGAATGCTTGTGATTTTTTGCACATTGATTTTGTGTCCTGAGACTTTGCTGAAGTTACTTATCAGTTTCAGAAGAATTTGGGCTGAGACGATGGGGTCTTCTAAATATACAATATGTTGTCTGCAAATAGAGACAATTTGACTTCCTCCTTTCCTCATTGGTACCCATCTTTCTAATAATATAATTTCCTATCTAAAAATAACGTGATTAGCTGGGAGTGTTATCATTAAAACTGAATTAATTAAATGCAAATTGATGCAAGATACAAGTAATAGTACTTTAAAATAAATACAGACCTGCATTTTAATTGAAAAATACTCACAAGACTACTTCATACTCCACACTAAATCTCCCAGTGATTTTATCAGTATACTACATAACAGAAGAGCAATAGTCATGATGAGCAATGGAGATAGCCAATTTCTTAAATTAAAAAGTCCTAAGGAGATAGCAAAGAACTACCCTTTTCCTCCTGAACCAATATGTTGCTCTTTTCTGTTGCCTCTAGGCCATGCCTCCCATCCATTCATTTGACTTCAATTACAGTCAACTTAATTAATTTGTTAGAAATATTTTAAAGCGTAAGTGTCATATACAACTTTTACATTTATTTTTCATAGGCCCTTAAAACATCTGGGATTGTCATCTCTTCTACAGTAGAAGAGGTGACTCACTTCTGGTTCACCGGTCAAGCATCAGTAAGGAAGAAAACAGACCTGTATTCCAAAGTTCAATTCAAGGTTTGTTAGATTGCACAAATTCTGATGTCTCCTTCAGTTACCTTCCAAGGAATGGAAAAGTTTGAAGCAATGCCTTCTGACAGGTCAAATCTGCTCAACCAAGGAGATCTATAGATGCTGTGCTGCCACAGATTTCTCTCATGGACTCTTTCCTCTAAGTCTCAGTAATTGGATTGTCACTTGGGTCCCTGACACAGGAACTCTAAGAAAAGATGGCTTCTCAAGGAAGGGAAGTGAAAGCTCTGTGAATGATTAAGGTGATAACGCCTCCCATGTGAGCTGCTTTGGGCTCCCTTAACATTCAAATTCCAGAATGTGAGCCTGTGAACTGCAGCAGGAAGCTAACTTAATATCAAGCATGAGCTAACTTAGGGTTAATTCTCAACCGCACCAATGAGGAGACCTGTTAGGTTATATTCCTGATCAGATCAAGCAGAAAAGGGTAGCTCATGGTATACTTTCAAAGGCGTATCAGAAGTAGCAAGGATCCAAAATTTATCCATTGTATCCAAGTATTACTTTCTTTTTCTTTAGGTAAATTGCCTTTTGAAAAGCATGTGAATTTTTTTAACATATCAATTAATGTTTCCTTCCAAAAAGCTTCATTCATTAATTTCCTGCAAAAGGAAAACTTTGCTCTGTTGGATATCTTTCTTAATGGCTCTGACCTTTTAGTCAGCACTGCATATGGATAGAATGCTTTATCATGATTAATGAATTTTTCTGTGGAACAATCCCTTTAAGTTGAATAAATAATATTATTCATTATCATTAATAGTCTTTACCATCAGAAACAAACAGTACAAGTAATATCAAAACTATTCTAAATGTTATTGTTACTTTCCGTTATTGCTTTTTTAAAAAAAAAAATCAATTCCCATTTCTATTGAGTAGGTTGATTGCTTAAAAATGCTCATTAAGAAGCTATTATGCACCACACATTATTCTGATTTAACTAGTCTAGACATTGGCATTTCTAAAAATCTCTCTGGGTTTTTTATTTTTATTTTTTGAGACAGAGTCTCGCTCTGTCACCAGGCACCAGGCTGCAGTGCAGTGGAGTGATCTTGGCTCACTGCAACCTCTGCCTCCTGCATTCAAGCAATTCTCCTGCCTCAGCCTCCCAAGTAGCTGGAACTACAGGTGTGCGCCACCACGCCCAGCTAATTTTTTTGTATTTCTAGTAGAGATGGGGTTTCACTATGTTGGCCAGGATGGTCTCGATCTCTTGACCTCGTGATCCGCCTGTCTCGGCCTCCCTAAGCTCTCTGGGTTTTTAATATGTAGCCTAGGTTGAAAATCATTGCTCAAGAGGCCTGAGTCTGGAAGGAGGGCAGGAGGCTTTCACAGGATAGGTGGCATTTGAGAGAGACCCAAAAAGAAGGTAGGTTGAGGAATAGAGAGAACTATGTGAGAGGAAACAAAGAGGCTTGACACAACCCTGGTAGCACTGGATCATCTGCTCTTGGGGAGGTAAGAAAGGAAGTGACCAGAGAGAATGAGAAGGTTTGGTCAGGACTACACTGAAAAGAGCCTTCAGAGACATGCTGACGAGTTGAATTTTAATCACCTGGACACAGGGAACCACTATATCTTCACATTTTTAAGAAGCAATTATGGCTTGAGCTGATCTCTGTTTAAGAGGAAAAACCTGAGTAGTGGAGGATGCATTAGAGTGTGGGAACTTTGAAATTCGCAGAGGTTTGCGTCATTCAGGTGACAGATGATAATAGATTACGATTGTCCCAAACTAACTTGATCTGTTGTACCTTGGATCACCAAATAAACATCATAACTTCCTGTACACAATTTTTAAATGTTATCAACAATTACTGTAAATATGTTAATTCTATGCCCAGAAGATAAAAATATTTAGCAAAGACCACAATTACTTTTGCACCAACCAACCTAATCATATTCTTGATCCACAAGGTTTTCAACAACTAATTTCTTGGTACTAAAGAAGCAGAAAAGAATTAAAGCACAACAAAGATAGCATTTAATGCTAAGCATCCTTTTAAAAACATCCAGTATTTACTGAATAGATTTGAATAAATGAACTAATAGATAATTGTACTTACTCAGTTATTAGTCCTATAGTAGACACCATAGAGAATGTACAAGGACATACTACAGAGTTGGAGGAACAAAATTAGCCCAACTGAAATAACAGTGTACAGTTTTGTACTGTTGCTGTGATGTAGATCACAAGTATAGGTGGCGTTCAGAAGCATATAAGATGTTTTGGAGGCTCAGGGAGAATAAGGATACATTTTATTTTACTCCTAGTGAATGCCAATAAGTATTTAGTTAATACTGTATTATACAGTGCAAATATTTGTTTATTGCTGAATGAATAAGTAAAATCGGTCTTAAGATTTTCTCTGAAGATGAGCAAGGTTTTGGATTGACTGATGACATAAAATAGGACTTCTGAGATAAAGCAAATAAATGAAGAAACAGATACAACACAGAGGTTATAATGACCACAGCAAGCATCTTAATTTAATGCTATCAGGACCACTGGAGGAATATTTTGCTTACAGAAGATACAATTTAAGACGAGAAATCATGTGTCTTCAAATATCTGAAAGTGAGGGAGGCTTTTGCTAAAAATCCCATGGCTTTCCAGAAAGCAGAATTATGTCCCAAGAGCAGATGCCGAAACTACACTTTCAAGCAAACTTTAATTATATCCCTTGCCAGTAAATGTTTGTCATCACTTTTGATTTTTATTCAAAGGATTAACTTGGTGAGCATGTTATAGAACTTGCAAGAATAAAATAAGGCATTGCACTAGGAGATCCTCAAAGTCTGTTCTGACTCTTATAGTTTAAGTAGCAAATATTAGAATTTGTTTGGGTTCACTTGGGTAAGTTTCAACCAACAAATAAAAAAAAAAAAAAACCAGAAGACTTCTGCTTAGCATATTAATAATTAAAAGGCAGAATTTCTCACATTGGAATAAAAAGCACAACCCAACTAAATGCTGCCTATAAAAATCCAATTTGAAAGAGAAAGACACAAATAGATTTAATGCAATACCACCACTTTGGAAAATCGTCTGGCAGTTTCTTTAAAAAGTTAAAAATACGCCTACCATATGATCCATTCATTCTATGACAAGATATTTATCCCCCAAACATTGAAAGCATATGTTCGTACCAAAACTTGTGCATGTATGTACATGAAAATTGTATTTGTGACAACACAAACCTGGAAACAAGCCATTATCCATCAAGAGATGAATACGTAAGTGAACTGCGGTACAGTGATACAATGGAATACTGCTCAATCATAAAAAGGAATGAACTCTTGACACATGTGAGAAGGGATGAACTCAAAATAATACGGCATGTGGAAAAAGTCTAGAACACAAAGATGTGAGCATACTGTAACATTTATATAAAATTCTAGAAAATACAAACTAGACTTCAGCGAAAGAAAGTCAGTAGTTGTCCAGGGCTGGGTGTGCTGTAGTGAACGCAGATGGGAATGGGCAGGAGGGAGAAATTACAAAGGAGAATGATGAGACTTGGGGTGATGCATATGTTTATTTTCTTAATTGTGGCACCAATTCCATGGACATATAAGTACATATATCAAATTATATGCTTCAATATGTGCAGTTTGGAGTACCATTATGAGAAAGAAAAAGTCAAAAAGTTACAAAGTAGCCAAATAAGAATGTGGTTTCAGAATTTGTACATAAAATTTTTCTTTCATGAGATGTAAGATAGGACAGGATATGTAGAGTAGAAGAATGACCTTACACTTGGCAGGAGACTCTCAATAATGATTCTTGGATAAAGGCTGCTAGGACTACCACCAGAGTCATCGGCATGATCATCAGACCCTGTCCTGGATACGCTCGCTGAGCCAAAGGAGCCAAAGCTGGCTTAATAGATGTGACCCATCTTCCTCCTTTTAACCATCAGCAGTCCACGAATCTAGTACTTTTTCAATGACATTTTTATAGTCCACCCATGTGGCTTCATGACTTAGTTTTTGAAATAAAGGCTCTGCATCTATGGGTTGTTAAGCTTTAAACTTTCTGGAATTCTGTAAGGATTTTTTTTAGTAGCAAAAAATGTCTGCAACAATGCATCTTATGTTGATGTGAATCAGCAGAGGGTGATTAGTTTCCCTCTTCTACTGAATTCTGCTGTCACTTCTGCAGGGTGGGGAGAAGTAGCACAACGGGAGCTAAGAAAATGGGTGCCAATGGATGCCATCTAATCAAGAGATTGCCATCAGTATTTAAGGCAGAGCAGGCAACTACTACAAGATGGTACCAACCACTGTGGGGAACAAGACACAGTGGGAACATTAAGCCAGAACTCCAGTATTCCCAGTCACCCGCCACTCAGGCTCATTTTGGTCACTTTGTTTACCTAATAATAACACAACTATGGGCCAGTCACTGTGGCTCATGCCTGTAATCCCAGTACTTTCGGAGGCCAAGGTGGAAGGATTGCTTGAGTCCGGGAGTTTGAGACCAGCCTGGACAACAAAGTGAGACCCTTGTGTGTACCAAAAATTAAAAAATAAACAAAATTAGCCAGTCATGGTGGCATGTGCCTGTAGTCCCAGCTATTCCAGAAGCTGCGGTGGGAGGATTGCTGAAGCTCAGAAGATTGAGACTACATGAGCTGTGACTGTGCCACCACACTCTAAACTTCAGCCTGAGTGACAGAGCAAGAACTTATATTTTTAAAAAAATTATATAATTATAATAATGACAGTGATCTACTGTGTATTTTATGCATTGAATTTCTTGGGCCCGGTTTCTGCCAATATAGGTAGGTTTACTGTACTTCAGTATAAATTGTTTCATGTATGTGTGTCTAAATGGGCTGTAAACCTTACCTTAGATTTTTTTCTTTTTTTCTTTGTTTCTTTCTTTTGAAATATCTTTATTAGGAATCAACACAATAGAGGGGACAGCTTATGCTTTGTATAGTTATCAATATATGTCCAAAGGGCTAATTAAGTGGCATAAAATAGGTAAAATAATAATTTTCCATGAAGTTTACAGCAAAGAACTTTATGGATACCCCTGCCCTTGCAGGCCAGACAGCCCCAAAGCCAAATCCCCTTACTGTCACCTTTGAAGTCTAATGACAGCTTGTTCTCATCTATCCCTTCCTCAGGTTCTATCCTTGGTCTGATTGTTGCCTCCTCCCCTGTCAGAATATCATCATATATGTCCAGGGCAAACTTTTTATTCAGGGTGCTCTTAGAAGTATTTTTCTGGCTGCTGGCTAATAAAACAGTGGTACCAATTCGGAGGTCAGCTTGCCTTGGTCATAACTAACCAATTGTAATCAAGTTGTGAAGGGGATTTGTAGCCCCCTATTTGCCTCTGAGCACAGTAGGTTAGCATACAGATCTTTCCTAAATGAACCCAATCAGTGCTGCGTGCTATATTTCCATTGGTCAGTTAGCAACACTTCGTGACTAGACCAGATTAGAATTTGCAGTCTACTTTCATAAGTGCTAATATAGTTCTTGGGTCTTCCTCAAATATTGTTTTCTGTCTTCATGCATCTTCTTAGGTTGCTCTGTTTGATGCTTTGGGTAAGAATTGTTTAGTTTGGGCTTTATTATTCTGTCCTCTTTGAGCAATTTATTGTGTTGGTTTAGGGCTGCTAGGGGCACCTGATCCTCCCCTAGTTGACTTATGAGGCCCTTAGATATTGTACACATGGATAATGCTTCAAAAGTAATCAAGCAAAACGTGGCATTGGCAGTAAGGGATAATCAATTTGCAAAAACGATAAAGTGCTTATCACCTACAGTTGATGATATATGCTTGATTGGGCAGCCTAGAGAAACAGTTGCCCATCAGCTCTTCCGCTCACTCACTAAATCCCCCAATCAGGCCTTAGAAATATTTAAGCCTAAGTAAGAACGCTACTCATTCTGTCTTGTAAAGTGGACAGAAACTGTGGCATGGTGAATCCACTTCTCATGCTTAACGAGGAAAGCAAGCACACGTCTTTCCTCTGCAGTTCATTCATTCAATGAGTAAATATTCAGTGCCTGCCAAGTGCCACACACTTTGAGAATACAGCATTGAACCACGGAGTCAAAAGTCCCTCTCAGGATTTGCATTCTAGTTGGAAAAAAGACGATCAACAACATAAATAAGTATAATATTAGCATGTAGATATATCTTAAGAAGGAAAGAGAAAAGCAAGGAAGACTGAAACCTCAGAGAGTTTCTGGTTTTCACTATGGGGCAGGGAGGACCTCACTGTGAAGACGACTTGGGAGCAAAGACCTTTGAGTTTAGGGAATTGCAGTAAAGCAGTGTTTATGAGATGAGGAAAAGGGTGTTCCCACAGGTGCGCTTTCCACGCCCCGAATGGAGCCTCCCTTTGTTCACAAATCCACTACCTGAGCCGAAAGTAGAGTGAGACATGATTTACCATATAGTCTGTGAACACTCTTGTCCTGGTTAGGGCTGAATTTTCTGGCTTACTTTCTACCTAGATCTGAGGCATCTGGCTATGCCTACAACAGGGAACAATAGAAAGGAGAAAGGCAAACAAAAAAACCAAAACAAATTTGTTTCAAATGACATCACTTGGCTTATGGAGAGAGAAAAGCGTGTCTAGTACATCCCTGTTAAATACTGACATCTGCGATTTGGGAAATGCTGTTTGTAAGAAAAGATGAAATAGAGATGATGAAACCTTGTTGGCTTTCCTTTATAAGTTGACACATGAGTAGGCAAAACATTAGCGGCTACAAGATAAAACACCCAGTTTTGAGATAAACTTTGTAAATATTCACTTACCTTTGGGTTTCACTAATTGCTGTCCAAAGAGGAAACCCATGTTGATAATTAATCAATAACACAACACACTTAGCAGTATTTTCTTCATTAGGTTGCATGTAAGTCCCAGTTCACAGATCTTGTTCTGGCTTTTTGTTTTGTTTATTGTTGTTTGGATTTCTTTTTTTAGTTTCCTCACCAAACTGCTGGAAATTTATTTCTGGCATTCGCTTACTGGAATTTAGGGCAATTACATGAGCATAGGTCAGATAATAACTTGTGTCTGTCCATATTTAAGCACAATAGATGTTACTTAGCAGGCACCAAATAAGAAAGTCAGTTTTCTATTATGCAAATTATCATACTTGTTTTGAAAGATTTAACCTAGTACATTTAATATACTAGGGCTGCTATAACAAAGTGCCCCCAAATGGGTGGCTTAAGACAGCTGAAATGTATTGTCCCACAGTTTAGGATCTTAGAAGTATGAAATGAAGTTGTCAGCAGAGCCTTGCTCTCTCTGAAGGCCCCACGGGAGGATCCCTTCTTGCTTTCTGGGTTGCTGGAAGCCCTTGGCATTCTTTGGCTCACAGATGCATCACTGTAATCTCCACGTCCACTGTCACATGGCATTCTCCCTGTGTGTTCCATTTGTCTTCTCTTTTATGAAGACACTATTGATATTGGACTAAGGTCCTCCCTAATTCCATAAAACTTCATTTGAACTTGATTACATCTGCAGAGACCCTATTTCCAACTTAGGTCACATTCACAGGTGGGAGTGGTGGTCAAGACTTCCACATACCTTTCCTAGAAATAATCCATAACAACTAATATCTTAGTGACTCCATTGCACGTTTTTAAACAGGTCTAATGTTTTTAAGCCTCCCATTCATTGATATTCATGAAGACACTTCTTTACTTTGAAATGCTTGGAATTTGAATAAAATCCATCTGTGCATGTTTGAACAGTAAAGATTTCACTAGTTGCCAGCAAGAGCTTTAGGAGCTATCATTCCTCAGGCTGATCATATCCCCACATGCACTTTGGATGAATTGGAAAAGAAGTTGGCAGGCTACATACGAGAAGCTTGACCTAGTTAATATCTGCTTCTAATAGGAACACAAGAATTAAGATGATGACAAAATAGCTTTTTTCCATAAAACTATATTCTGTGTTTTGTTAGCTTGTTTTGTCAAAACCTTACATATGTCTTTTTCTTTTATCTTTTCTTTCTTTTTATTTATTTATTTTTTTTTGAGACAGAGACTCACTCTGTCGCCCAGGCTGAAGTGCAATGGCGTGATCTCGGCTCGCTGCAACCTCCACCTCCCAGGTTCATGCAATTCTCCTGCCTCAGCCTCCCAAGTAGGTGGGATTACAGGTGCCCACCACCATGCCTGGCTAATTTTTTGTATTTTTAGTAGAGACAGGGTTTCACTATGTTGGCCAGGATGGTCTCGAACTCCTGACCTTGTGATCCACCCACCTTGGCCTCCCAAAATGCCGGGATTAAAGGCATGAGCCACCGCGCCGTTGACTTTTTTCCTATAAATGGCTTCCGTAGGAGTATGTAATTTCAAAATGGAAAGAAAATGAATGATTTGAATCAACCGAGTCATAGTTTTCCTTCTCCACATACAACAATAATTAAGAGATAGCAGGAATACACGGGTAGTTGAGTTGTAGAAAAGGTATGTATAGTAATGTAAAAGCTAAGATTTCCCTTGCCATACTAGGCTCAACAGTTGCAAAAGTAAAGCAGAAATTAAGTCACTGGCCTTCCACGCTGGCAAGATGAATCATCTGTAGTGGGTCTTTTCAGCTCCAACGGTGGGTAGTTGAAGATGGACACAGAAAGCCCTTTCTCCATTTCTGCCATTCACTGTGAATATTCTCAAAATCACCTGACCAGTCAGAACCTCAGTATTTCCTCTATCACAGCCCAAGAAACCTGCCCATACTTACAGTCTAGGTTTCTATATAGAAAAGACACACTCATTTTCATGAGCTCTCAATTTGAACCTGATGCTCAGGGCCCAGGTATGCTTTTTCTATTACCAGATTTCTTTAAAACCATCAAAAGGAAATGTAGGTTTCTGTCGGACTGGGAAGGATTTCTGCAGAAGTTATCAGGATTTTGGCCTGACTTTCCAGCCTGAGGTCCCTCCCTCACATCCTCTTCCATACCTGAGTCTCCTTTCCAGGACCCGCCCTTAAAACCCAAGGGAAAAATATGCCAAGAGAAAGCCCGAGAAGTAGAATCTCTGAGGGGTTGCCCCTCATGTGAACTTGGGACAGATATTCCTTTCTGGCTCTGTGACAGCAGCCGTTACTCAGTGACACTGAGCTGAGAGCAGCCCAGCTGAGCATGGCGCCTTGCACATAAATAGATGCATTTCTACGCTTCCTGATGGAGATGACAGCTCAGAAAGGGGGAGGTCCAGTTTTGGGCCAGAAAGCATCATCACTAAGAATGTTCTGAGGCTGTCCTTTGCCCTCCTGAGTTTTCACCTTCCTTTATATAAAAATTGCAGATAAATCCATTCAAATCCACCATACACAACTGACAAATCAGATAATAGATGGGATTTGTTTATTGTTTAGTTTTTTAAAAAATTGGTAATTATTTTTAGGGTTGTCTAAATGCTCCGGAAATCAGGTTGAGTGTTGCGAGGAGGCTCCTGTTGCCTTTCTCCCTTGAGAGGATGTTTCTAATGCCTGTCATGTGTGGTGGAAAACTTAACTCATGCTGCTGTTCCCTTACTCGCCTTCAGTACTGCTTGGAAATCCTATCCTTTGACAGTTTCTAAGCCAAAGCTCTCTAGAATTTATCAGTTCTCTTGATGTGAGGCTGTTTTCCCTTCTTACATTTTATTTCTTCAGGCTTCTAAAACTGCGTGCCTACTACCAAAATGAAAAGACCCTGAGAGGATGTGGAGATCCACGAACCCCCTCTGCTCTCTAGGATAGATCCTGACAGCCTCCAGATATTTCACTTGCTTCCTGGGAGCTGGGAGGAATTTTGAAAAGCCAGATGTGAGGGAAGAGCAGTTGCTTATTATTTACAACTTATTTCCTGGTATCAAGTAGTGTAACAAATTTACCCTAAAATAAGTATAGCATTTTTATATTATCAAATAGAGCTCACATGTGATCATGCATTACTATTAAACGGAATTTTGTGGGAAGCAAAATTCATAACTCCCTCTTCTTGTCACTTCTAGGAATAGCTTCTTTGAGATCTCAAATGTGAAATTGTCTGATTTTTGCATTTTAACCTAAATGTGGTGTATGTTCTCTAGAAAGGACCTTTTTTTGTGTGGTCAGCTTTTAGTCTGACTCTAAAGAAAACTATTAATATAGAAATTGCCCATTGTACTGAAAGTGTTTGACTATTAAATCTTCACTTCCAAGAGTATTTCCAAATGCACAATAAATGTAGGCTGGGGAATCACAGCAAGGGGTACAGAGGAGGGAATGATAGGTCACAGCAGGTTCCAACATATTTTTAAATGATTTCCCCTTATAAATTGATCTTATTTATAAGGATTTGGAGGAAGAAATCATTCACATAGCAGGATCCTTGCCATAGGTAAAGGGTCATAATTTCAGAAGCAATATTTCTTGACATGGTGGAAAGTAAATTCAGAGACTGGGCATCTTTACAATTTTGCTACCTTGTCCAAACTCACACTGGGGACTTAGAGGTCAGAGTTTACACAGGCCCTCAGGAATGTCTTTTTAGAACTGAGTCACGTTGGTAAAGAAAACTGGCAAGGGAGATTGGGCTAGCCCAAAGGAAACCCCTCTCTGGTGTATTACAACTATGCCTTCATTTATAACATGACATAACTCTTCACCAACCGGAAATCATAACAGAAGTTTCAAAACTCCTTCCTGCCTCTCATTATGATGTAAAGCTAAAAGATTTTGTTACCTACTATAACTGAAGCAAAAACTTAAGTAGAAGGTTGTTTATCAGACACTTGTGAAATGGAGATAAGGATTCAGCTGGGTAACATCTCCCCCCACCTTATTTTCTCCACTTTTGTCTCTCTTTTATGACACTTTTTCCAGGCAGACATTTATAGGCAGCATTCGTGTCATCGTTCCAGACAGGACCCACGGTCTGATCTAACCTTTCATGGTGAACCTGTCACCATAGTGTCTTGGTGGTGCCCATTCCCGTCCAGTCTTTAGGTTTGTCCATCACTCAAACACTTGCCTTTGGAAGGTTTCCTTTTTTTTTTTTTTTTTTTTTTTGAGACAGAGTCTCGCTCTTTTGCCTAGGCTGGAGTGCAGTGGTGCAATCTCGGCTCACTACAACCTCCGCCTCCTGGGCTCAAGCGAATCTCCTGCCTCAGCCTCCAGAGTAGCTGGGATTACAGGCATGCACCACCACACCCAGCTAATTTTTGTATTTTGAGTAGAGACAGCGTTTCACCATGTTGGCCAGGCTGGTCTCAAACTCCTGACCTTGTGATCCACCTGCCTCGGCCTCCCAAAGTGCTGGGATTACAAGTGTGAGCCACTGTGCCCAGCCAGAGAGGTATGAGCCACAGTGCCAGGCCAGAGAGGTTTGCCACCAAGCAGCATAAACATCATCTTCACCTATGTGTGTGGAGTAACTTGAATTTTCCCACCCTAGGAAATGTTCTGCTTGTGGTTTATGCTGAGGGACTTGGCTAAAAATGTCAATTCTGTTATTTGAGAATTCTTAAGAGAAAGCATCAGTCTCTAAATGTGCTTAAAGTGGATATAATTGGATTTCACAAATCTTTTTCTATTTTCCTTTAAGAATATTCTGTACATAAAGAAATGATACCATCAAGAAATAAATACAGTTGGTGAACCAACCATCTTGTGCTACATCTCTGAATGGTGCTCCACACAGTAACATCCCAGAAAGGTGTTAGAAATGAGATGTCTTTTACAGTCAGCATTTGGGGGAGGTCACAGAATACCGTGTTAACTTCCTAGACTCAAGGAAAGGAACAATGCCAGACCTTTTACAAAACCTATTAAATCAGAGATCTGCAAAGGAATCTTGTGATAGACGAGAACCTTTAGTCACCTTAATTTAATTAACTTGTTTGGTGTGTGAATATAAGCCTTCATGTTTCAGTTTTTCAGGTTATCTAATTTTGATACAACAAGCCCGAAGGGTCCTAGAGAGAAAGACGTGACTTTATGAACCTTATGGCATCCCACATATGTCTCATCATGATATTGATGCCTCCTAATCAGAAGGTCCTCTGTGCTACGTATCATTGTCTGTGCCCTGCGGCTGGTAGTGTATAGTAAATAAACACGTGCTTCCAGTTTCAAACATTGTGTAGCCAAAAACTTTAAAGTAGGCTTCACCTACGTGAGTGAAACCTGCAAGATTTGCAAGATTATGCAAAAATTCTTCCAGAGCCTTTACTATGCTAATGTGTATCAAAAAACTCCATTGGGGAGTAAGAGTAAAATAGATTGCTTCCCACACTCCTTTCACCAGGGAACTCTTTTCTGCTAGGCATCTATTGAGGCCAGTGTTCCATGAGTCATACTTCCTTCTTACTTTGCAGTGAATGGATGAGAATCAGTGGCAAGTGTGTTGTTAAGACATTCACCTAGAGAGTTGGGTGTCACCATATATGATAGACACAGACTCTGATGTCTGTGTGTGTGTGTGTATGTACATGTAGGTATATAAGTGTGGGTATGTATGTATATGTAGGAGGGGTGTGTGTGTGTGTGTGTGTGTGTTATAGAAAGAGGGAGAAAGACAGGGCAAAGGAAAAGGAAGAAGAGGAAAGATGAATTGGCCAGGGAACAGGCCATCTGATTGAACCTAGGATTTATTTACCATTTCAGCTGCATAGATGTAACATATTTGCAGGGTTTTGCCTCTTTATTTCAACATTAATTTAGCAGCTTCACAATTCTAAGTACCGACATTTAATAAAGTTTGTGTGAATTAATAAATGTATGAATGAATGCCTCAAAGGTCCCCTTTATTGTGCATGGTTTCCTGACATTATCTGAAACGGTTTTGAAAGAGGGTTTTTCTTGGGGACTCGCAGATGCCAACTGAGGACAATTATTATGAATATCTGCAAAGCTGAGCCTTCAATGTTCACCTCAGGGGGTATTTTAAGGAAAAAGGAAAAAGAAAAGTCTTTCATTTGCTTTGCTGACACCTAATATGTTTTGAGTAAAAAATCCATTTTAAACAGGTAAATAACTGGTTGTTTATTTGGAACAGAAAATGCATTTATGCCAATTGATAATCTATTAATTTAGTAAGAAAATATATTTTCCAAAGCATATTTGAATAATAGGCATAATATAATACATTTTAAAGCTTTTTCCAACTGGCTTCTATTTCCAGTTTTTTATTAAAATACACACTTGAAACTTTTATGTTTTCAATAGCACTAAATTAAAAGAATCAGGTTTTCATTTACACAATTATTTTTTAACATTAAGTTTTAAAATAATCATTGTATCTTAGTGAGCTGGATTTTTTTTTTTCCAATAAACCGCTTCCAAGAATGCAGGAATATCCGTGTGTATATCATACAGCTCCCAGACATACACATGGACACATTCGTCTTCCGTTGATCAATTTATAACTCGTCCACTGCTGAGCAGAAATCTTAGGGAGTAGAGTAGAGCTAGCTTCTTGAATTGCCATTGCTGAGGAGTATGAAGTTTAATTACATGGGAAGGATACATTTCCTTTGTGTTACACCAAGGATACATGTGGTTTTGATGAGGAATAAGCATTCCTTCAAGGAAGACAGATAACACGCCAAGACTACTAGAAAGTACTCACAATGTAATGAAAAGTAGGATGGTAAAGATACTAAACTCTGTGAGGGAAGATTCCATTATATAATGGTGCATAGGAAGAAAATGAAAGTATGCCAAAATGCCAGTGAGATTGTCATTGGTTGATGGATTTATGAGCAGTTTTAATTATCCTCTGTATGCTTTTCCTTATATTCCAAATTTCTACAATGAGCTATGGTTACTCAGAAAACAAATGTTATAAAAAAAAAAAATACTCGACTCTTTCTTTTCCCACTCAATTTCACTATCCTCTTCCTCCAACCTGGTACAACAGACAGTAAGCCCACTACACATAACTAGAGGTATTTTGCACTTCTGCATGGTGTAGATTCTGGCTAAAATCACTTTAAAAGAACACCAAATACACTGTAGATGGGGGAAAAAAAGAAAGAAGGGCACAGTAGCGTTCTATCCATGTGATGCTGTGGGCTTATTTCCTGTAAAAACATATGACTGGAAATTTTGTTAATATATATCATTCACACAGGACTGTTAAATAAGAAATTGAGTCATTTTTCAGTGTGAGAAAGTCTGTATGAGAAAGAAAGTTACATGGACAAAATGCTAATTAGCAATTTTATGAATGCAAGATCCAAGCTAGGAAAAGGAAAATTTTCTGAATATTAATCTCTCTGTCCAGATAAGAGTGAACTATTATTTATAAACATACTGCTGTTGGCCTGATGACAGTGAAAACACTTTGCCAAATATTTCTTCCCTATATATATATGATATGTCTGGCCCATGCTACGGTTATATATCTACTTCAGTCTAATTTACTTTCTCACAATTGTGGGCCAATTAAACATACTGTAGCATACTTAGTCAATAAGTTTTTTTTTTTTTTACTTAACACTGATAATATTTTTATGTTTTATGCTCTAAAATGCAGCTGCCAGTGAATTTATGGAGAGAGAAAGATATCTTTGAACTTGCTGAAAAACCTGAAAATTTCCTGTGAAACTTGGGTGAAAAGATTGTTTCTTAAGCTTTAGAAATAAAATGTAAAATGCCTTTTAAAGAAGTTCATGATAAGGGCAGTTCATTTGTGATGGAAGGGTATGATTTCCATTTTTGAAGAGAAAACATATTGAGTCTTCCCCTGGCTGACCCTGCGTCTCCCCTCTCCCAACCACTTTATATCATGTGATGCAATCAGCAGAGGCCGAGGGGCCTCCTTTCTATTGCCCATTGATTTCTTTTAATAATGTCATAGAGATTACAGCTGTAGCGTGCACGTTAAGTGCCTCCTGCCAAAGCAGGATTGGTCCTTCTAGTTGGCTTTTAAGTTTAGGGTTAAATGACCTCAGTATTGTACTTCCAGCACATTCCCTGAGATTCAGCCCCAGCAGGTCAGTGTCCCAATAGTCAGCTTAAAAAATCGGCTGAATATTTTGTCTCTCCCTTATTGCTGAAAAAAAATTCTATTCCCTCCAGGGTGTTCTCATTCTGGAAACAGAAGCCCAGAATAAGAATGCTTTAAAAAAATTTGCCACTACCGCATGTTCTCACTAGGGTGTTGAACAATGAGAACACATGGACACAGGGAGGGGAGCATCACACACTGGGGTCTGTTGGGGGGAATAGGGGAGGGACAGTGGGGGCTGGGGAGTTGGGGAGAGATAGCATGGGGAGAAATGCCAGATATAGGTGAAGGGGAGGAAGGCAGCAAATCACACTGCCATGTGTGTACCTATGCAACAATCTTGCATGTTCTTCACATGTACCCCAAAACCTAAAATGCAATAAAAAAAATGCAAAAAATTTAAAAAAATTTTCCACTATCACCAATGTGTTTAATACTAAAAACTTAATCTTCTTCCATAATTCTTTATGTTGTTGAGAGGAATGTGAATTACATATTTCTTACAAGATATTGACTAAAGCTAGAAATGACATTAGAAAACTTATTTTGGAACATACTGATTTCCCTTTAAAATGATTCGAAGCTGAAAGGATATTGAGCAGATGCAGGTAAATGTGCAGGGAAAATGCCTTTTACCAAAGCATGCCTGTGAGTTCTTTCAGATGGTTTCTTGGGTTATATAAATTTAGTTTGAGGTCATTATATGGATAATTTGTTACTAAGTAAAGTAGTTTGTCAGGTTACGAGACATTAATCTTCCAATAGGTCTTTAATTAGGACAGATGCACTAAATAATTCATAGCAAGACTTGGCCTGGAAACATTTATAATACTCAATTATACCATTTTACAGGCAATGGCAAATTGTTTTTGTGTAGTCTAGAAATTGTGGGACTTAATTAATTACCTTCAATGTTTTAGACATCTGCTCTGCACTCTTTTAAATGCATTAAATTGGCAACTCATGAAATGTTAAAAATAGAGTTCAAATTCCCCAGATGGCAAAGGGTGAAGATCAGCTATGACAGAAAGGAAAAAGCCACTCTGTGGTGTACTGGAAATATGAAACCAAATTACATATCCAGTAACATTTGGCTTAGAAGGCTCTCAAGTGTGTCACAATTATTTTTAAAAGAATGAGAAATTTTTATGGTTTTAAAAAGCATTTAACTTACCATTAAATACACTTCTTCCCTGGTTTCCTAAGATAGGCTACAGTAAACAAACTGGGAAACCAGGCAGAGTACAGATATAAAACACATATCAATCTCTGTCATGTAAACACCTTTGAGTGAAATTTATTTCTGCACAAACAGATAACTTTGCCCCTATAAGTTGTACCAAAGACGTGACAAAAAATAAGTACTCTAGAAGTATTTGCAGAGGCATTTTCATGTGATAGATCATAAATGATGGAAAGGGGAATTAAGAGCTTATTCCATTTGTAATTAGATCACAGAAAACAGATGGTGATGGCTTTGCACTGGATGGGAGGATGCGACCATTTAAGTAAACAAAGGGAAAAGGGATGTTCATTTCATTTTTCATCCTAGCAGTTTCTCTGAGGAAGATGTTATGAGTCCTCTGATTAAGAATAATATGTGAATCAATTACGAAGGATCTAAACACATTCTGAAGGCTCTAAATGAGGCATGAGTTTGCAGATGGAGGGGTCCCCTCTTGTTGTGATAGTCAGCTGATGCTCTGGCCCTCAGAGCCCAGATATCTGCTGCTTTCTGAAGGATATTTCTCTCAAGGTTGTATAGTTTCTCCAGGGGGCTTGGGAGATGTATTCTTAAAATGGGCATAGATTCCAGGTCCTGCCTCCAAAGCAGTCACGCTGGGTTAACACGTGGAATCACGTGGAGGCAGAAGTGTTTCCTACTTGACTAGCTCCTGAATGGAACGGAGAGAAGTGGAATTGACTACCAACACACTCAGTGAGTGGACAGGGTTTTGTGGCCAAATTCCTCAGAATGTAGATGAACTCTCTCTAGCAGAAACCCAGTGTAAGCCACCTTGTCCTCCCCTTTGTCCTATTGGAGATATCTGGCAAGGCAGCAATATTAGGAAAAGGCATGTTTGTTTACACTATTCAAAAATCTGTCAGTTTTTTTCCAGTTTTCTTGTAGACTTTCTTCTCTGACTGTAATTCCTCCTACATTCCAAATCTTACTTTCATGAGGCCAACCAGTTGTTTTCTAATACAGAGAATTAAATCTGTATTACTTTCTGCAAAGTAATTAAAGAAAGAGAAACTTAGCATTCAGAAAAATGAAAAATATATATAAGTACATTTAACTTTAACAGAAATCAAATGCTTCTAATTAAGAAAAGGAGAATAGTCTTACTGAGATGAATCATGAGCATTTCTCCAGTTTGTGACAACTTTATTCTGATTAATGGACATACTATATTCTTATTAGTAATAGTAGTAGTAGTATTAAGACATGATCTTGCTCTGTCAACAAGGCTGGAGTGCAGTGTCACAATCATAGCTCACTGTAACCTTGAACTCCTGGGCTCAAGCAATCCTCCCATCTCAGCCTCCCAAGCAGCTAGGATTATAGGTGAGCACCACCATGCCTGGCTATTTTTTATTTTTTTAGAGATGGGGTTTTGCTATATTGTCAAGGCTGATCTAGAACTCCTGGCCTCAAGAGATCCTCCCAAAGTGGTGGGATTATAGGCATGAGCTACCTGTGCCTGGTCTATTATGTGGTCATTCTAAACATGCTCTTTGCCAAGCACTGTTGTTAAGTGCTTTGCCTTAATTAACTAATTTGATCCCCATAGCATCCCAGTAAGGATGGGTTATTATCTTCATTTTACAAATGAGGAGGCACATCAGCAGGCTGGATTCCTTTCCAAAAGTCACTTTGCTAGGAGGAGGCAGAAGCTGGATTTGAACTCATGTGTGCACCACTCCTCTACACTGCTTTTCCCTTGTGGAGTATGGAATGAGGATTCTTGGGGACTGACCTGGTGCCCATGAACTTGCACACTTCATAGTCCCCCCTAATGGAACAGGCACGAGGAAAATCCTTTTTCCATCACCTACACTCAGTCCAATAGCACTGTGTTCAGGCCACAGTCATGATGGCCAATCAAGGAGAATAAATGGATGGGTCAGCACAATCTGCTGCCATATTGAAGAAAGCTAACTCAAAATGAAAATTCTGCTTCCTGATCAGTTCCATAGCTCCATGAAGATAGAAAGTGTGTCCAATTTTTAAAAATGTTCCTCGGTGTTTTCTTTTTAATAAACTTCTGGGCCATCATAGCGCCTTGTACAAGTACATAGTCAACAAGTGTGAACTGATTCGATCTGTGCCTTGGTAGCATTGTCCTTAACAATTGCACTCTTAAATATGATTAAAAACTAGCTGCGTACTAAAAATGTAATTGAACAACTGAATATATTTGTCTGGTATCTAGTCTCACTATGTTATTAGTTGACTTTTCAATAGTACATGTTGCTATTAATCGTAATGTCAGTTTCACAGAAAGAGGAAAAAGAATAACCCAAGACATAAAAATAAAATTCTTTTGAAATATTCATATGATGTAGGAAGGGTTTCTGTGTATATATTGTACTAATACTAATGGTACTTATTAGTTATAATGGATTATTCATTAAAAGTATAAATTTCTATTAAGTGGTTCTAATTTTATAACTAGAGAAATTTTAAAGTATCTGACTTAAAATAATGACTTGTTACTTAAGTTGGCTTCCTTTCCTTGTAATTACAAATTCAATACTTTCTTTTTATCAGATTTATCTTAACTTCTTTATTAATTGAACTAGCTACAGTGGTTTTCATGCATAGATTCTTTTAATGTCCTATACACCTTCTGGAAAGTTAGGAAGTATTTTATGAAGCATCACCAATGTTATTTAGAAAACCCCAAATCAGCTGCAAACATATACATAAGAAAAATAGAATGAGTCAGTGAATTGTTTTATATTGTATGTCTCTTGAGAACAAGTCATCAAAAGTTACAGCATTTTAAAAAAATGTACCATATATATAGTTGAAATCTATCTCAGCTGCTGTCTGCCTTTAGTGAACATAATATTATGCTTATTTAATTTCTCACAAAACTTTAGGCAATGCTAAGCAAGAACAGAAGCCTTTTCCTAGGGTGGGGAAATATGCTGATTTGCTTTACTTCCTTAATCATGGCTTCACAGTTTAGGCATTACAGAAATATTACGTACCTGACTCTTAAGGTCTTTACTCATTTCGTATTAGATCTTAGATTTCTTCATCCCATTATTGATCTAAAATGTCTCTAGCTCTCTTGGGTAAAGGAAGAACATGCCCATGTGTTGCATTAGATAATTCCTATTATTGAAAAGCTGTGTTCAATCTAAAATGACCTTTTCTTGTATTTATTTTCAAGCTAGCTTTGCAGCCCACATTATATTGAAGCTTTTGTAGGACTGAGAAGCCCGTTGTTGCATGTGCAATGACGCTCTTAGGGTGTTTGCTCAGGGAAGCCAGCCCTCCAGCCAGCTGGTGGCAGGACCCGGGGCATTTGGCCGAGTAGTCATTGCTGCTTTTTTTTTAAAGTCCACTGCAAAGGCAGGGCATTAGGTCTGAATTTGGACTATAAAGAAAGATGGACAAGTGCTATCAAAGAAAAAGTGCATCTATGAAGAGGTCTCTGTACTTTCATAATCAGAACTCACAACATTAGTACTTTTGAAGATGTCGAACAAGAATTTTGGGAGGGGCAGCATGGAGATTTGGACTTTTCACAAATATAAAATTGATAATTGGCATTGGTTCTACTTTCATTTTAGTGATCCTTTAAGATTGTGCATATTTATAATGACAAATTATATCTGTGGGATTTGGGCAGGATTTTGAAAGTGGCCTGATTATTATGTTAAGCTGCATTAAGAGTTTTCTGGGAGACTCACATGACTTCACTCAGAGAAAATGCCAAATAGTAAGAGAGGAATCCTATTTCCTGCATGCTACTATTCTTTTAAGCAAAGATTGTTCATTTACTTACCTTTTAAGTTTGTGTTTACACTTCCAAGTTGAATTTTAAAAACCTCGTCATTAAAAATAATAATAATAGTCATTTAAAAAATTATCTCATGATCAGAAAGACAACTTTTCAAATTCTAGCAATAATTTTATACTTGCCAAGTTTATTTTGGTTTACATTATATGTACTGATCT